GAGCTTCCAGTCTCAGGTCAGCTGGATGAAGCCACAAGGGCCCGCATGAGTCAGCCCCGTTGTGGGCTGGAGGACCCCTTCAACCAGAAGACCCTTAAATATCTGCTGCTGGGTGAGGCCTGAGCCTGGGAAAGGGGGGATAGGCAGAGGTGGCACGGACAGCCTGGACTAGCTCAGTGTTGAATGGGTGGTCGCTTGATTGACCATCACGTGGCTGGAGGGTTGTTACATAGCTTTGCTGAGTGAATGCACAAAGTCAGCAGAGCTTTCTGGTTGGCAGAAGGATTTATGTTTCTAATCTATATCCTGGTCCAATAACCAGGCCGCTGGAGAAAGAAGCACCTGACCTTCCGCATCTTGAACCTGCCTTCCACCCTCCCACCCCACACGGCCCGTGCAGCCCTGCTTCAAGCCTTCCAGTACTGGAGCAGCGTGGCCCCCCTGACCTTCCGGGAGGTGAAAGCTGGCTGGGCTGACATCCGCCTCTCCTTCCATGGCCGCCACAGCCCGTACTGCTCCAATACCTTTGATGGGCCCGGTAGGTACCGGCTTTCACCAAACAGACCTCTGAGATGATCTCTGTCCCCTTGAGCCATGGAGTCTGGAACCTTAATGTTTAGGCTGATCCCTGTGCCCTTCTACCCCTACACTCTCTAACCACCTTCTAACATTCCCTTGGGGAGCAGCTGGACGCTGCTCAAGGCACAACCCAGAGAAGACTGGGCCAGAGAGGAGAGAGTGGTGGGGAGGTGACATAGCAGAGTGATGGGCATCCCTGTAAGAATGGGGTGGTGACGGGGGAATCTGAAAGAAGAGAGCAAGGTATCCAAGAGACAGTGACCAAAGATGGGAGAATTTTATGGGAATGGAGTACTGGGAGTTTATTACAGAAGTTCTGACCTCTTTCCTATCCACCTTTTGCCTTTGTCCAGGGAGGGTCCTGGCGCATGCCGACATTCCAGAGCTGGGCAGCGTGCACTTTGATGAAGATGAGCACTGGACTGAGAGGACCTACCAGGGCGTAAACCTTCGCATCATTGCAGCCCATGAACTGGGCCATGCCCTGGGGCTTGGGCACTCCCGATATACCCAAGCCCTCATGGCCCCTGTCTACTCTGGCTACCGGCCCCACTTCAAGCTGCACCCAGATGACGTGGCAGGGATCCAGGCTCTCTATGGTAGTCCTTCCCCTAGTGATCACAGGGTCAATCTGATAAGCATCTGCAGGTGTGAAGAGGCAGTTCTAACCTCCATTGAGGGAAATGGCTTAGCTTATTTCTCTTCCTCCTGCCCAGTTGTTCAGACTTCTATTTTCAGGGACTGTTTTTCTGACACTTCCACATCTAATCTTGCTTCGGGGCCTGTCTCCCCTCAGACCCATTCTTGGGGATGAAGAATGAATATTCCAACAAATCTCCTTCCTCCTAAACCAGTGATGGCGAACCTTTTGAGCTCAGCGTGTCAGCATTTTGAAAAACCCTAACTTAACTCTGGTGCCGTGTCACATATAGAAATTTTTTGATATTTGCAACCAAAGTAAAACAAAGACATATTTTTGATATTTATTTTATATATTTAAATGCCATTTAACAAAGAAAAATCAACCAAAAAAATGAGTTCGCGTGTCACCTCTGACATGCGTGTCATAGGTTCGCCATCAGTGTCCTAAACCAAAACATGTCTCCTGCTAATATCAGTATGATCTTGCCTCCCACCAAGGGACACTCTCTGGGATTCCCTTTCCCCACCTCTACGGGGCCTCTGAGCCAAACTTACAGGGGAGTGAGGAGGTCAGGAGTTAGAGTTCTCTCTCTGAGCAGCATTACATTACCTTGCAGGCAAGAAGAACCCTGAGACAGAGGATGAGGAAGAAGTGACAGAACTCATTGTACCCCAAGTGCCCACAGAACCCAGTCCTATGCCAGATCCCTGCAGTGGTGAACTGGATGCCATAATGTTGGGTGAGGCCCTTCCCCTCCAGGCTATAGGCAAGCACTGAGGACAGCCGGCTGACCTTGAGACCTGGGCAAATGGGAATGACGTAGGATCACAGCAGGAGCAGGCAGGAGTTAGTGGTCATAGAAAGAGGCATGTGGCATGGGGGGTGGGGGGAGAGGGTTCAGAGACAAATTAAACATGGGCCAGGTAGGCATTTACCTCAGTTGCTGTAAGAGCCACATCTGGAAATACAGCAAGATGGAGAAAACCATATTAACTGGATGTCTATTAGAGAAGGTATTATACCTGCATGGAAGAATAACTTGGAAGCCACTGGGGTGGAAAGTGAGGTCCCCCAAGGGGGAGCAGTGACCTGCAAGATTTTAGTTTTGCTAAGCGGACCAGACCTCAATTGCTCTCAACAACAAAGGAGAGGCTGAACTCTGGGTCCTCCTTCTCTGCCTCCTTGATCTTACTGAACTACAGTTGGATGCATTTTTGAGGAATCAGGCTGTGGGAGAAGGGAAAATTATCAGCCTGCCTGAGATGACCGTCTTTTTAATTTGTTGATGCACCTTTGCTCTCAGGGCCCCGCGGGAAGACCTATGCCTTCAAGGGGAGCTACGTGTGGACCGTGACAGACTCAGGGCTGGGTCCCTTATTCCAAGCATCTGCTCTTTGGGAGGGACTCCCAGGAAACCTGGATGCTGCCGTCTACTCTCCTCGGACACAATGGATTTACTTCTTTAAGGGTAAAGGGACTATTATGTGTCGTACCTGAGAGGAACTACCATCAAAGAAGCCATAAAGGGGAGGGAGCGGTGAGAAGTTTCTGAGAGGGTGCAAAGGAGGAACCAAAACTACCTGCTGAAGACAGAGGTGATTTGTATGTTCTTGTATGTTCTCAGGAGACAAGGTGTGGCGCTACGTCAATTTCAAGTTATCTCCTGGCTTCCCCAAGAAGCTGAATAGGGTAGCACCCAACCTGGATGCAGCTCTCTATTGGCCAGTCAACCAAAAGGTGTTCCTCTTTAAGGTACATACTTCAAATCAAGGGCAAATCCCTTCTTAGGATGGGTGGGCTACTTCACACGGAGAAGCTAAGACTTGTTTCTAAAGGGAGTTTTGCAGCTGCTGTGGACCGAGGGTAGGTATCTGGGGTCCCTAAGCTGTCCCCTCATGCTCCTCTTTTCCTTACCTACCCCATGCCTAGGGCTCCGGATACTGGCAGTGGGATGAGCTGGCCCGAACTGACTTCAGCCACTACCCCAAACCCATCAAGAGGTTGTTTACAGGAGTGCCAGACCAGCTCTCAGCTGCTATGAGTTGGCGGGATGGCCACGTCTACTTCTTCAAGGGCAAACAGTATTGGCAGCTCAACCGGCAGCTTCGAGTAGCGAAGGGCTATCCCAGAGATATCGCCCACAACTGGATGCACTGTCGTCCCCCAATCCCAGGCACTACCCCGTCAGGTGGAGACACCACTCCCTTAGCCACAGGCCCTGACCCCTCAGTCACAGGAACAACCTTGGGTACCACTTCCTTGTCCATAGATATCACCTTGAACTCTGACCACTCACCCAGAGACACAATCCCTGGCAACGTCATCCCCCCAGAGGCCTAAGACCTCAACCAAATGTCTCCTCACTGGACTGCAGGTGCTGCCGCAGGGACATGGACCATAGACCTCAGACCTCTAAATGTCCCAGCTCTAACCTCCATTCCCCTGTGCTCTGGGTCAGCCCCAACTCCATCCATTTCTTCTCATCCTAGATAGCACTTCTAACTGCGTTACCTACTCTCTGGAAAACAGTGGTAGAGAGGAGGTGTCAATCAGGCCTGACAGGAGGCAACAGCTGGGAAGCTGAATACTTGCGTCTTGTTCTTCCTAGATGAAGTGCAAAAAACCAACAGCAGCATGGCCAGTAAAATGAGCAAGGCTTTTGGAATCCTTGAGCATAACATTGGCTGCTTTGTGATTTAAGCAAGTTAATTAACCTTGTTGAGCTTCAGAGTTCCCATCTGCAAAATAAGGTTAATACCAAGCCTGCAGGGCTGTTGCATTAAATGAAATACTATATGTGAAGTGCGTGACAGTGCCCGGCACATTTGTGCTTAATAAAGGCTAACTCCATGTTCACAAGAGAGGACTGAACAACTCTTCCTCTGGCTGTGTGCGTGTGCGTGTCTCCCCTACAGTAGTCCAGTCTGCTAAGGGAATCCTTATCAGATTTTTCGTGGACAGAGAACTTGTCAGCATGGCTAACTCTTTGCTTTGGGATGCAAAGAAACAAAAGAGCAGCAACAACAGAGGCCAGACTCCCTGATTCAGTGTTTAATTAATGCCACTTTATTCACATGTTCATCCTCCCTCTCATCATAGCCTTGCCGCCTAGGAGAGGGATATGTCTTCCTCCATGATATCTTCCTTCATGCCGTCGGGGGAATCAGGGAACTGACTTTGAGGGGGAGAGTCAGAGTGGGGAGAGTTAGAATGGACTAGTGGCTTGGACAAAGTTCTGGTTAAGGGAGAAATGAGCATCACCGACAAAGAAAGGCAGAGAAGGCACTTGTCTCCCATACAGCCCCGAAGACCGGCTCCTCTGGGCAAAGGGCAGCACTCCGGCATGTGGGCCAAGGCTCCCTCGGAGCAAGAAGCCAGCTTTTGGGGGAGGCGGGGGCTGAGCCAGGCACTGCCCAGGTCCTTCCCCACATCGAGAAGAGAAAGGGAAGCACCAGGGAGGACAATACCCCCACCTGAGGTAGGAGAAGGGGGCTGAGCCTATGGGGCCTGGGGGGAAAGGCTCATCAGGAACCCAACTACCCCCTGATGAGGAGCCTGGGGGTTAGGGGATCCTGGAGCTCCTCTGTGCCCTTCTCCCCATCAAAAAGCTATCAAGTGCCCAGCCAGTGTGGCTTTGTGGTTAAGCATCAACCTAAGAACCAAGAGGTGGCTGGTTTGATTTCAGGTCAGGGCACATGCCCCAACTGTGGGCTTGATTCCCGGTAGGGGGTGTGCAGAAGGCAGCTGATTGAGGCTTCTCTCTCATCGATGTTTCTATCTCACCATCCCTTCTCCATTCCTATCTCTCTAAAATTCAATAAAAACACATTAACAAAATAAGCTATCAAGTGCTTAGGAGGCTTCCTGATTTTCTACAGTTCCTACAGAAACAACACCCCTTCATTTACCATTTTGTGGCACACTGAGGCCGGTATATAAAAGGCTATCTGGGTAAGCACCCCCCCTCCCCCCCCATATGGAGGGAATTAGGGAGTCAGTTACTTTAGGGAGCAGGGCACCTCTACTATTGGACAGACGTAGCTACTCATACTCCACTCCTCTCCCCTCTCCAAGATTCCTCTGTATCTGTCTCTGAAACCTATCCATACAGGTCTGGTCTAGGTTGGAGCAGATTCCATCCCCAGGTCTAAGAGGTGGGGAGGTCTGTGTGTGAGTCCTGTGGGCTCAGGTCCTGCCCTCCTAGTGCTCCCAGGCCCTTGCTAGCGGTATGGGGGTATCAGTGGAGGTTTAGGGTCAGGTCTGGGTGCAACCAGAAGGTGTGGTGAGGGGTATAGTGGAACCATAGTCAGAATCCAGATCCAGGATGGTGTGGGGGGCTGTGGCCTGGCTGCCTGGTCCCAGTTGGCGATCTCGAAGGCTCTGGAGATAACTCTGGAGGGGCACAGGGCAGAGAGGACAGAAGGAAGGGCCTGGGTCAGTCCCCGTCCCACCCTGACTATCCCATGTCCCCTCTGCCCCATCCCCCAGGATGCCCCCTCCCCACCACTCACTGGAGCCAGACTGTCAGCGGGGCTCCGGGCGTTGGTGGGGAGCTGCCTCCGGTAGCTGCCCTCACAGAGCCCCACCCCATGGGAGGTCCGGTGGCACTTGGCCTCCTGCTGACGGATCCGAAGAAGTTGGAGATGCCTTCGCTGGTGGCTCAAGACCACTGCTTGGGAGGGGGCGACACAGACTGAGGGAGGCCTCTTTAGACCCCAAATCCCACCCCCAACACACTCACTCTCTAGAGAAATCCGTTTGATCTTGTTCTGGCTCTACCAAACCTTGTCTCCCCCCCTCCCCTCCTTCCCCCAGTTCTTCTAAAAGAAACTCTTCTTTGGAGTCTTCCTACTCTCTCCTCCTGGACTTTCCTGAGATCTTCATTATCTTCCATAAACTGTCTCCAATAAATAACTTTCCTATTCCCACTGACAATTTTTCTTCTCATTCTTACCCAGACTTTTGGCTCCTCCAATTCTAACTTCCTTTCAATGTCCTGCCCCATTCTCCTCTCTCCTCTCAAGTGTACTTCCCCCCTTCCCCTCCTCAAGTCTGGGACTTGGGGACATGAGAAGGCACAGGCTGGCTGCTTCTGTACCATGGCACTAACTCACCATTGGCGTGGCCTCCATGTTCCTCATCCATGAGCTTCCACTGGGCCAGGGACCCAAGGGCCCCCAGGGCCGGCCACGTCCCCAGCAAGACCCAGCTATACCAGCAGAGAGGAGGCAAGGCCGGAAGTGCCTGCAAGCGTTGGCCCAGCCGACTGCCCAGTGCCAGCCCTTCCAGGAAATAGTCAGCACAGGCCACCAGCACCGCAGCACCCAGCAGGGCTGTGCCCAGAATGGTGAATGGACGTGGCCACCGAAGCGTAAACAGGGCTCCCAGCAGTGCCAGCCCCACTAGCCCCCCAGCCGGTACCCAGGCTGAAGGTGGTTGGTAGATGGGTTCGGTGCCCAGCAGAGCCCCGGCACCCAGGGTTAGGCCTAGCAGGAGACCAGTCAGGAAGAGCCCAACACTGCGAACCAGCATGGTGACCAGGCCGCAGAGGAGTCCGATGCCCAGCGCAATGCCCGCGCTCACCTCCAGGCTCAGCTGTGTCTCTAGCACTCGCTCCTTGTGGCACAGCAGAAAGATCACCAGAGCTCCTGATAGCAGGCCGGAGAGAAACATCACTGCCTTGAAGCAGCGGTAGCCTGGGAAGGGAGGCAGGAGGCACTGAGAGGTAGGAAGGGTTGAGGGGAGTCCACAGGGATGAATGACTCTGCTGGTGAGCAGAGGAGCAGAAGACAGGACACCCAGGAATCTCAAGGCAAGAGGCAGAAAGGAATAATATCAGGGAAGGCAGAGACTTTTCAGAAACTGTGAGGGGATGGGAGGGAAAGAAGGAGATAAGATGGCTGCATTGAGGGGAGTAAGGATAGAAAAAAGGTCTAGTCCTTCCAGGAATGGTAGATGGGAAGAAATCAGCCTAGGCTGATTCAGGTTACTGGGGAAGGGTGAAGAAGCCTTGAGCAAGGATGATAATTTGGGAATGGAGTTTTGAGGTAGAAGGCATGGGGAAGGCAAGAGAGAGTGCCAGGGGCCACAGCTGGAGGGCATGGGGGGCGATAAATAAGAGCTGGCAAGAGCAGCATGGGCCACACTGAAGGTAGGCATTCCCTGACAGAGTGCTAGAGGTAGCCCAGGAGCAAAGGAGACAGTTAACAGCATCCTTGAGGATGACAGCCTTGGGCAGCTGCCCCCCAGAACCGTGGCTCTGCCCTCACCGAAGCAGCAGTAGATGATTCCAAAGCAGCAGCAAAGAGCACACACCAGGGCAGGTGCCAGTTCAGGATTGTCCTGGGGTTCCAAGACACATCTTGGGTCTGGAGGCTCTGGGAGTTGTTGATTAAAGGGCCTGGGGTCAGAGGTCATGGCCAGGGGCAGCAAAGCTTCCTCCATGGCAGGAAGAGAAGGTGGTCACAGAGGGGGAGGTCAGTGTCAGCTCCTCTCATCCATCCATGAATGTCTCGAGGGGTTTGGGAAACCTGCAAGGGAGTAGGGGGCAGCGACTCAGGTGCCCATGAATTTTGAGGACTTTGTACCTCTATTTCATTTGAAGAAAGCCCAATTTCTGGAGGGACCATGGCCCTTCTGGGGTAACTAAAGAAAACTTACAGGATTGGGTCGAGGGGAGCCAGCTGGCTCTTTACCACCCTCTGCAACAAGGACACTAACTAAAACGTAAATGAAAATCTTATAAGGGGGTGAACCTTTTTTTGCCCCCCTAACTTTCCAGGGTGGGATGGGAGGAGTAGGAAGTCCTAAGATCTGTGGCGGGAGGAGTCCAGGGGCACTAATGGGACTACAGCAACCTGTTCCAACTGCAAAAAGAAAGCTTGCCCCCACCTGCAGCTGGGACTCAGTATGACCACACTGGACTAGGAAGGGTGGGGTTAATAAAAGGGGGAGAAGGAGCAGAAAGAGGAGAGAAGGGTGGGGTCTCTGGACGGCTGCTCCAACCCCAGAGGAGAGGGGGGAGTGGCGGGAACCAAAAAAGTTTGGGGCAAGGAATCCACATTTGCCATGGTTTCAAGCCTCTGCTTCTTGGGAGATGGAGCTGTTGGGGGAGGGGCCTCCGGCCCATCCAGCCCCAAGGACTCCCAAGGAATAAGCAGGCACCTGGCCCACAGATCGGTTCTGGTAGCCTCCTGCTCCTCCCCTCATGGCACTGGGACGTGTCCTGTCCCTCCCTTTCCCCAGGGGATTGGGGCTGACAGTGGGACTTGAACTCGGTTCCTGCGAGGTCACCAAGGAGGGGCTGGTATGGGGGCACTGTGAGAGTGGGGTGGGTGGATGCAGCCACGTCCCTCCCGCTGTCTTCTCCTGGACATCACGGTCCTAACAGGCTGGAGGGTTGGTTTGGGGAATCCCTGGGGTTCCTCTCCTCAATTCTCTTGGAAGCCTAGGGACCCCAAACAAGGAGAGGTTTGGGAGGGGGTGTTCACTACTCACCACCCTGCCAGGCTGAGGAGAGGAAGGGGGTGGAAGTGCTTCCCTAGACCCCCAGCTGCATCCCTGCCCGGAGGTCCTAGGTGTCCGGCGGCTGTCGGGCGTCGGCACCCCCAAGGCCACTCAGTTAGTTGCCCCCTAAACTCTTGCAAGTCGTAGCCCAAGCCCCGTGAACTAAAAGCAGCC